CTTCTGGTATTCCCTGCTTTCAGCTAAGATCCATCTAACATCAGCTATAATATCCCTAGTACCATGACGCCTTCTAAGCCCAGCCTGGACTTCTGGCATTTCTCAGCTGATGTGCTGTTACAGTTGTTTCTGGATTATCTTCAGTAGAATCTTGCTTGCGTGTGAAATCAATGATATCGTTCTACAGTTTCCACACTCTGTTGGGTCATCCTTCTTTGGAATGGGAACAAATATAGGTCTCTTCCAGTCAGTTGGCCAAGTGGTTGTTCTCCAGATTTCTTGGCAAACTTGGTGAGCACATCCAGGGCAGCATCTGTTAGCTGAAATATGTCAATTGGTATACCCTCTATTCCTGGGGCCTTATTCTTAGGTATTTCCTTCAAAGTAGCTTGAACTTCTTCCTTCATCACCATAGGCTCTTGTTAATATGTAACTTCATTAAATTCTTCTGTGTCTGCCAGTTCCTTTTGATACAGTGAGACATATTACATTGGGAAATCAGCAGTTGGGACCCCTCCAAATTACTGAGGAGAAATCATGTCAGTTTGAGGACCAAGGTGCGTGTAATTTAGGCTATGATCTTTCTGATTACTTGCTATGCATCTGAGAGCTGGACAATAAATAAGGATGACAGAAAAAGAATTGATGTATTTGCCCTGTGGTGTTGAAGAAGAGCACTAAACAGCCTGTGGACGACCAAGAAAACAACTAAGCCTTGGAAAGGGTGCAACCAGAATGTTCTTGGAGGCAGGAATGATGAGGTTTTGCCTCACATACTTTGGGCATGTTGCTAGGAGGGGCTCTCCTTGGAGAAGGACACGATGCTGGGGAAGGCTGGAGGGTTGGCAAAGGAGAGGAAGACCCTCAACTAGGTAAATTAACATGGTGACTGTTGCAATGGGCTCTCGTGTGTCAGGAAGTGTGAGGATGGCACAAGACAGAACAGAGTTGAGATCTTTTTTCATAGGGTCACTGTAAGTCGTACTCAACTTGATGGCACCTAACAATAACATTTTATATTGTTAATGAGTTATATAAACTTCCTTAAGTATGTTGTTGTGTACCATAGAGTCGGAAACAAACCATAGCTAATCCTCCTGTGGGTTTTCAGAAGCAGTTAATCACACAGGAGTTTGCCCATCCTCTCCTGTGAAGCAGCTGTTGGCCTCGAACCATGTGCCTTCAGGACTGCAGCACAGCTCCTTGCCACTAAGCTACCAGAGCTCCTTAAGCATATATACGCAAAATGTGGTGGTGTTGTAAAGTGCCGTCAAGTGACTTGCAAGTCATAGCAACCCTATGTACAACAACTCTGAACTCTATCCTGTGCAAATCTCATTGTCTCCAATACACCTAACCCCATTACCCCAGTCACTAAGTTGATACATCTCATCCAGGGTCTTCCTTTCTTGCACTGTCCCTCCATCCTCCCAAGCATGATGTCCTTCTCCAAGAACTGGGACCTCCTTGCAACATGTCAAAGTATGTCAGATAATCCCTGACTCCAAGGAGCAGCCTGGTTTCATCCTCTCCAGGATAAACCTGTTTGTTCTCCTAGTAGTGCATGGTATAGTAAATACTCTTCCCCAGCATCACAGCTCAACGGCATCAATTCTTATGTCATCTTAGTAATTGCCCAGCTCCACGATCTATAGCAAGTAATTGTCAAACCATGGCCTGATCAGGCACACCTTAGTCTGTAGACTGACATCATTGCCTTTCAGGACTCTGCAGAGGTCCCTAATAGAAGATTTTCCCAGTGCAATTTGTCTTTTGATTTCCTGACTATTGGTGCCAAGACTGTTGACTGTGGAGCTCAGCAAGGTGTAACTGTCAACCTCAATCTCTTATCTATTGCAGTGCTGCCAATTGGCCAGGTGGTGAGAATCTCTGTCTTCTTGATGTTGAGCTTCAATCTATATTGAAGACTACAGCCTTTGACCTTCTGCAGCAAGTACTCCAGGTCTTTCTCCGTTTTAGCAAGCAAGGTTGTGTCATCTGTATAACGTAGGTGGTTGATGAGTCTTTCTCTAATCCTGATACCACAATCCTCCTCATAAAGGCCTGCTTCCCGAATGACCTGTTTTGCATATAGACTGAAAAGGTATGGAGATAGGATGTATCCCTGATGCACTCCTTTCCTGATTTTGAATCACGCAGTTTTCCCTTGGTTCTATTCTGAGTGCTTCCTGGTCCAACTATAGGTTTCATGTACACATATAGTTATTTGTAAACTTTATTCCAAAGTAGTTTGTTAACTGGTGACCACACTTGGCCATATCTTGTCCTCCACAGGCAGTCAGCTCTGCCTGCAGCACAGTTCATGTGAAATATCAACTATCAATGAATATGATTACATTGGGCAATTAGTAGCTTCAGAGTAAGGACTTGGCTGCCAATCCAAAAGCAAGTGATTCAAATCTGCCAGCTACTCTGCGAGCTAACGACAGGCCGTCTCCTCCCATGTGATTAACTGCCTCTGAAAACCTCCTGGAAGGTCAGCTATGAGTCAGGTCTTACTCGAGGTACACAACAACAGGTACCAAGATAAAGGTGAACTTTGATAATAGTATAAATTATTTAGTTTATATTACCCACCTAAAAGAAAAACATAGATAATAGGAAAATAATATATATTATATACTTCCTGCCTGTCAATTCAAAGTACTTGGTAACAGGAAAATAACTGTAAATATTGCTTTTCCATACCTCTCATGAGGCCCAGGGTGTTCAATTTTAATTAGTTTGTCTTGTCCATCAGGAAATGTTAACTTGCACCAACCCAAGTTACAACTTTGATTTACCTTAAGAAAGAAGAAGAAATGTAACACAATGAAAATTAATTATTGTGTGAAAACCAATAAACAAAAAAGAAGCAAGAAGAGATGTATCACTGTAAAACAAAGCAACCTTCTTCTAAATTAATTTTTTTAAAAAGAGCTACATGGATGCTTCAACAAATTAGATCCTCCCAGAGGAGCTGTGGGTGAGCATTAACATTACTGGTAAGTATATTCGTCTTCTCCTAGACACAAGAGCCTACCATTTGGTCCTAAAAGCCTTCTGAAGTCCCAACTCTTCTCACTATTTCTTAGTTGTTGGAATTGACGGAAAACTTCATAAGCAGTCCTTACTTCACCTCTACCTTGCATGCGGACTTCTGAGCTGTAAAACAACCCAGTGGTAGATGGAATTTGCTCCAGGACTTAAGAACAATAAATGACATAGTTGAGCCACTACACCTTGTGGTTCCTAACCTTTATACTATAATAGACAAAGTGCTAGTCAATAGGCCTTTTATTTTAAGAACTACCTTCCCTCTGTAACTTGATTTGTGCCACTGTTAGAACCTCTACTTGGATTATTGCTTTTAATTTTTGACTCATGTACTTTTAACTTGTTAGTTAAATTTGTGTCTTCTAGGCTGCAACACTTCCATGATACATCTTCAAGGATATGAACATGTACGGCTAAGCACAATTGATAACAGTGCATCTAAATTCCAAAATCAAACTGCCAAAGGGGCCCTTTAGAGTAGTGAGAGAAGATCTTCACCCTGAAACCCACAGCGTCCCTTTTCAGCAGGAAGTAGCTAAGAGAATACGCCATCCCCTTTTCCTTATGACTCAGGGTGAAGTCTTTCTCAGGGAGGAGTGATAGGAAATGGCAAAGGACACACTGACAAAGAAGATTAATCAGAACTGGCTTTGACAAGCACTGTGGCAATTGGACAATTAAAACAGACTTTCGGGGGGGAAAGAGGAACAATAATAAAAGCTACATGGCTCAATTAAAAGTTGTGACTAACTTAAAATTATGCACAATATGGGATACAGGGATTAGTTTTACAATCATGACTCTTACAGACTTACAAAAAAATAATAAAAATATTAGGATCTGTCTATGTAACAATCTGCGTTATGCAGATGGCACAACCCTGCTTGCTGAAACTGAGTAGGACCTGAAACTCTTGCTGCAGAAGGTTAAGTACTATAGTCTTCAATATGGATTGAAGTTCACCATCCAGAAAACAAAGATTTTCACCACTGGGCTGATTGGCAGCATCATGATAGATGGTAAAGAGATTGAGATTGTTGACAGCTTCAGTTTGCTTGGCTCTACATTTAACACTCTTGGTACCAGTAGCCAGGAAATGAAAAGAAAAATTGTTTGGGAAATTGTGCTGTCAGAGACCTCTCTCCAAAGTACCAAAGAGCAGCAATGTCAGTCCGGAGTCTAAGGCGCAACTGATTCAGGCCATAGTCTTTGCTAAGCATCAGAAAGCTGGACAATGACTAGGGATCACAGAAGAATTGATGCCTTTGAGCCTTCGTGCTGGAGAAGAGTATTGACTATACCATGGACTGGTAGAAGAACAAACAAGTTCATCCTAGTGAGGGTGAGACCAGGCTGGCTCCCTGTAGGCAAGGATTCTGAAGCTCTGTCTGGCATATTTTGGACATGTTACAAGGAAGGACCAGTCAGGAGAGGGACGTCATGCATGGGAGGGTGAAAGGACAGCACAAGGAGGAAGACCCTCAAGATTGATTGATTCAGTCACTGGTAATGGGTGTAAGTTTGTCAACAACAATGAGATTTGGACAGGATAGAGCAGGGTTTAGGGCTGTTGTACACAGGGTCACTATGAGTCACAGGTGACTCAATGGCACATAACAACAACATATAACAAGGTATCACTGCTAAGACTAGTACTTGCTAAGCCATTTTTTTAAATTCCCCCCACCCCACCCCCCATCACTTTGTTGTGTGCCTTTGAAGCAGATCCATCTGGCACCGGAGGAGATTGCTCCTCCTTCTCTTCTTGCCACTAGGCCACCAGAGCTCCCTTGCTAAGCCATTCTTATCGTGCTAGGAAATCAATGAGATTGAGCTCTTTTTTGAAAGTGTAAAATCTACCTCAAGACATCACAGATCTCATACTATACAGCACACAAGAGCAATGATTATGTAAATTACCACCTAACATGGGAGGGACTAGAGAGCATTATGCTGAGTGAACTAACTCAAAGACAAAGACTGTAGTAAGACCACTGCTGTAGAATGAGTATAAGGATCTAAGGGGGGAGGGGGCTTAATCAAAGGGTCACACAATTTGATGGGTAGAAGAAGGGATGGGGAAACAAAAGTGAAAAACAATGTATGCGAAACTTTGTGAACTTTGTATGTAAACCAGTATTTAAAGAAAAAGAGCTCGTCTGATATATATATTGTTTTCTACAGGTAAGTAAGCAATAAAATACAGCACAGCAGACTGACATATACTCACCTGTCTCTTTTCAGTGCAAAAGCTGAAATCCCAGTTTAAGGTTAGGGTGACACCATCTAAAAAGACAGCATGAACTTTGTTGTCAGAGTATGCAAGAAACCTTCCCACACTGGGCATGAACGATTCTCTCAAAAGCAAAGGCAGAGGACCGTGATTATTTACAACACTTGCCTAAAACCAAGGAATAAAATCATGTTTACAACTGTTTTTAGTACTTTGCTTATCATCTAGAGTATTCCATTTTAATTACTTTTTTATTTGAATTAGAAAACCCACTAACAAAATTTTCCTATTAATAAACATAGAGGTGACTTTAGATTCATATCCAGACACTGAAAAGGATTTCTGTATGTTTTTGATACTGAAATAGAAATTTGCTTTTTCAATTTGAATGGAAATTTACAAATCAAACTGGCTTTTCATTCAATCAGCAACAGACATTTTATTTCATAACATTAATTACAGTTGATGAATTACTTCACTACAATGTCTATTCAAACGCCTTTTCCTTCCCACAACTTCTCTATTTATTTTTATTCCCCCTTCTCTCCAGTCTTATCCCTGTTAACCCTCCAAAATAGATTTTATCAGTGTTTCATTCTTTCCTCAGCTTTTCATTTAGTAATTATACATCAAAACAGTTCTTCTATGACTGGCTGTGCCATTCAGGGTAACTTCCTCTAGATTCATCCACGTTGCACAGAAATTTGCAAATTTATGAAGGTCACTACATAATGCTGAAAGGGTCAATAGAACAAGAGGACATAACAATAATAAATATCTATGCACCAAATAAAAGACCAGCAAAATACATAAAACAAACATTAACAAAACTGAAAGAGGAAATCGACAACACTACTATAGTGCTGGGAGACCTCAATACACCCCTCTCAAGAAAAGATAGAACTACCAGAAAAAAACTCAACAGAGATACTGAAGAATTAAATCACACAATAAACCAACTTGACCTCATAGATATCTATAGACTAATGCACCCCCAAAAAGCGCAGTATACCTTCTTCTCCAAAGTGCATGGAACATTCTCTAGAATAGATCACATTCTAGGTCACAAGGCAAGCATCAGTAGATTCAAAAACGTAGAAATAATACAAACCATCTTTTCAGACCATAATGCCACAAAATTAGAAATTAATAATAGGATGATAAAGGAGAAAAAACCATATATTTGGAAGCTGAACAACACCTTGCTTGAACATGACTGGGTAGCAGAAGAAATAAAAAATGAAATTAAAAAGTTTCTTGAAACTAATGACAATGAAAACACCACTTGCCAAAACCTCTGGGAAGCAGCCAAAGCAGTAATCAGAGGTCAACTTATAGCAATAAGCAAACACATCAAAAGACAGGAAAAACAGACTATTGACTCTCTAACCCAATATCTCCAGCAAATTGAAAAAGAACAGCAAGAAAACCCGACACCCTTTAAAAAAACTGAAATTATAAAAAAAAACCCCATCATTTCTATGGCCATTCACCCAGTAAAGGACACCTGAGTTGTTTCCCACAAGGAGAGGTAACTTCTAATGTCTTTGTAAAGTCACCTTATGTATGTAACATTAGGCAGAAAATTGACAAAATTTCCAAGCATAGCAACAAACTGGTTTGTAATCAAATTAGAACAAAAATAAAAATCAAAGTCTACATATCATTTCCTCCAGTTGAGCATTACGAAATTTCCTTTGGAATATGTAGATTGCTTTTACAGGGCCTTCAGAAGAAATAGACAACCCATTAACACAATAGGCAAAAGAAATGAACAGGCTCTTCACAAAGGAAGAGATTTAAATGGCCACAGACATAGGAGGAAATCCTAAAAGTCACTGACAATTGATGCTATTGTTATGTATTGATGAGTTGCCTGCAACTCATAGAGGCCCCATGTACAACAGCTCTGAAGCCTGCCCTGTCCTGAGCCAGTGTCACTGACCCCAACACACCTACCTCCAATGCTCCAGATACTATATCAATCCATCTCATCCAGGGTCTTCCTTTCCTGCGCTGTCCCTCCACCCTTCCGAACATGATGTTCTTCTCCAAGGACTGGTCCCTCCTGGTCACATGCCCAAAAGTATGTGAGACCAAGCTTCAAAATCCTTGCCTCCAAGGAGAAATTTAGTTTCACCCTCTCCAAAACAGATCTATTTGTAACCTTGTTCATTCATGTTCAAGACTCTTCTCCATCACAACTCAAAAGCATCGATTCTTCTGCCATCTTTAGTCACTTGTCCCACTCGCTGATGCACAGCAAGTAATTATGAAGACCATGGTCTGGATCAGGCACACCTTAGTCTCTAGACTGAAATTGTTGTTTCTCTGTACTCTGGAGAGGTCCCTGACAGGAGACTTTCCCAGTGAAATTCGTCTTTTGATTTTCTGATTCTTGGTGCCAAGAGTACTGATTGTGGGGCTGTGTGAGCTCTAACTCAATCTCTTCTTCATCTGTCATGGTGCTGTCGAGCTCGAACTGATTCACAGCTGACCTTGCAGTCAGTGTATTCACAGGCAGTAAATGGGGTCATTGATCATACGGTACTTTCTAAAATACGTCAATGTTGGCCAATTATTTTTTTGTACAGTTATTTTATATATTTCCTCTATCTTCTTTGTTCTTAATTTTTTAAAACTCATTGTTGCACATATTCGTCAAGCCCCTCCTCTCCTCTCCTCTCCTCTCCTCCAGATAAAGCCTCCAGGCTCCAAACCTCTCGGCCCCATGCCCAAGATAAACGGCTCTGAACGTCCTTTCTGACAGTCCTCCCCTCCTCTGCTCTAATGCAGTGGTCATTATCTAGCCACTCTTTTCCCATTCTCCCCACCACTCGCACGTCTGGCCTATTTGATAACAGTGATGTTACGCAATATCTGTGCTTTTGTGACTAGGATCTTTCACGCAACATAATGTCCTCCAGACTCCCCCATGTTGTGTAATATTTTACAAATTCATTGCTTTTCAATGCTGCATAATATCCCATTGTGTGAATGTATCATAGTTTTTTAATCTACTCATTTGCTAATGGGCACTCAAATTATTTCCATCCCTTTGCTATTGTGAATAATGCAGCCATAAACATGGTGTGCATACATCTGTTTGAGTCGTGGCTCTGGCTTTGTTAGGGTATATTCCATAAGTGGAATTTCAGGGTCAAATGGTATTTCTATTTCCAGCTTTTTGAGAAAGCACCACACTGCCTTCCACAGTGGTTGAAGCATTTTACATTCTGACCAGCAGTGAATAAGAGTTCCAAAAAATCTCTCAACAACCTTGCCTGCATTTGTTGTTTGCTGCCCTTCTGAAATTTGCTATTGTTGCTGGTTCACTTTATTTCGACGCTTCTTAGGTCATCCAAGATTTTGCCCATGCTATCTCAGTATTGCAACTGAAGGCTTGAATTAGCTTTTTAGCTTAAGAAATGCCAAACAAGTTCTTCCCCTTTTGCTCTTCAATTCTAGGTCCCTGTACATTCTGTTAAAATACTTTGTATTCTTGAGTCTCCCTGTTTTGTTGTTTTGTGCTCACACAATCTTCCTGAAGAGAATTCAAGAGGTCTTACAGTATTTACTGATAGAAAGAAAAGTCTATCAGCTTTGGTATGGATTACACCACAGCATAAAAAAAAATCTTCACAACTGGACCAACACTCAACATCACAGTGGACCCAGAATCAGTGTGCAGGGAAGCAGCAGTCAAGAAACCAAGCATGTACCGTGTTCAGAAAATCTGCTTCAAAAGAGCTTTGTCAAGTGTTAAAACCCAACGATGTTACAGAAGGCTAGGGTGTACCTGACACAACCCAGGGTATTTTCAATTGCTTCTCATGCACACAAAAGCTGCACAATGAATGCAGAAAAACGAAAAGAACTGATGGCTGTCGGCAGAAATTGCTAGCAAGGGATACTGAATATGACCTGCCAAAGAACAAAAAGTCTGCTTTGGAAGAAGTACACCAATATGTTCCTTAGA